TGGTGTCTATTTACTTGTGACCACGCTGTGTATATCAACATACAATCTCAAGTGATTTGTGTTCGTTCTTCTAACACACGGTCAAGATCAAATCTCAAGTGACTGTGTTTTGTTCTTCTAACAGCTGATGGAGAACATTACATCTTAAGTGATGGGTATTTGTAAAAACACAGACAATAAAGTGAAATGTATGATGTAATTTTTATTTGGACACAGAAAGATATGTTTACTGACAGATTCAACAAAAAGACTTTCTCATGCTTGTTATTCATATTTTTTTAAGTTGAACTATCATGCAAGAAGTCGATTAAATAAAATTTTCTACATCAAGTTGTCATAACTGACATAAGGGTAAATGTTTAAGATAAACATACAACTTACATATTTTCATGATGTTACAAAACACGTCTAATCTGATAAGATTAGCATCACAGGTCATGCCATCTACTTATTTATATGCATTTTGAGCAAGATTAAACAAACTGTATCATTGCATATATTTGGGGCTGTAACTAACGTATCATGAATCACTTGGGGCTCTAGGTATGAAAAGGCACATTCTAGACAGTAGTAAAGTATTTTGGTGTGCTGGCTGGTTGTAGGCACAATGTGGTTTATGAGTTACAGATAACAGAGAAAAATAAAACGCCGTTTTTTGGGGGGCCAATTTTCTAAATATCAAGGAAGATTAGCCGAACTGTAGAGGCAGTTTCGTACTTGATTAGTGAAGGGATTTTTGGCTGGGTGTTGCTGAAGTCGTGGTGTATGTGTTACCATAAGTAATGTACAGTTTGCCAATTTCGAACAGACTCATCTGTATATAAGGATCACTACCATGCTCCCTAATAACAGACAAAGTCCATTTGGGGCATTTCTAAATAAAGAACCAAAGTTCCTTGGGCATTTGAAATGAGGAGGATCATAGGCCCCATGCAAGGTTTTTCTTCACACACTCAATCAAAGAGCAGGTACTGTGTAATACCCTGGTAAATGGGCACTCAAGGGATCTTCAGAAACAATGTGTCTCAAGCAACTAAGTGTATAGTGTCTACACTCATAAAATTTTAGTATCAATTATACAAACTATCTCACAGAATAGATAAAATCACTTGGTAGTGCTCTGGAACAGCTGTATGCAATAAGTACACAGACTTTTGGGTAACATTAAGAGGAAAACTTTGGTCCAAATGGTAAGGACTGTACAACCACCAGCTTTGAGCAAATGTAAGTATTTCAACATCTGTTCCCAATGTGTAATTCTCATCCATTCTACTGTCTCATATGTATTCCTGGATGCTGTTTTATCGAACATGAGGGTCTAGCCAAATATATACAATGCTCACCATGTGGTCTACTATTGTTCTACATATTGCTACGTGATCATCTTCTGACCCTGTGACTACATATGAAAACGCACAAAAGGGACAATTTCCACCACCACTAACAGGTCTTATGTTCTGAAGCTGGGAAGTGTGAGCACGGATTGTATTACCAGACTCAAAGTGATTGACTTTGCAACACTGAAGATCCAACTGCTCACAAACCTGCTGTTACCACTGTAATCTAACTTAATGAAAGAGCAAGTCAGACAACTCACTAGATGCTGCACACCAGAGTTAGCATCAGAAGCACATGGTTTTCTTTCTACTATGAGCACTTCATCATTTGTGGAAGGATGCAATCTCTTCTTCAATGATCTCTTTTTGGTTTCAGGTATTTTTGGCTTTTTTGATTCTCTTATCATATGCTACAAATGGCAGTTAGCTTCTGCTTCCTATTGTTGTGTGCTCAAGCATAGATAGGCAAATCTGGTCTGGCTTTTTGAGTTAACCATGGACTTGGAGTCAAAGGCTGTAAGATACACATCTGACAGTGTCCTAACTTGAGAGAGAGCAATGTGTGTCATCCCTGGACTGAAAAAATTGCTAGATAGGTCCATGGTAGCACAGTTCAAGGAAAGGCCTTAACACTTGTGAATGGTGATGGCATAGGCAAGAATGGGAGGGAACTGCTCCCTGCACACATAAAACTTTTTCAGGAATATTCAAATTCAAAATTCATGATGGCTTCATTGGTCCTGATCTGATTACATTACCAATAGCACCATAGACTAGTCCAAGTTCTGTGTCAATGTTCCTAAAAAGCACCACTCTTGTCCCAATAGCAATGCATAGCACAGCTTCTAGCCCAGCAGTGAGGTTAGAGTCTTTGTTGAGTTTTTCAAGCTCCTGGGCTGCCATCTTGTTCCACTTGTGTGTGCCACTGGTTTCATCAGCACTGTCAGTACAGAAAACTTCAACAACATTTGACTGCAAGTATCACAATGTTGTATTCCTCATATGGAATTCGTTTGGTATAGAGGCACATAGGTGATTGACCAGAGTATTAAAGCTCTTTGAACTTGACCACTACCAAACAAGTGATAATTCTTCTTTTCAAAGTAGTGAGTGAATCCTCTGAGACATAGACACGTCAAACTTTATCAAGTAATGCACAGAACTGCGCGTTTCTTTGGCACTCACTGATGGTTAGTTCATAATATACCAAAGTCTCCTTCCAGATGTTGATATAAGTCATGCAACCAAGCTTTGACAAGACTGTTTTGTTGTTCAGTTTGTCAAACACCAGTCCACCACTCATAGGAGGGAGCTGAAGAAAATCTCCAACAAACAGTGTGTTTATATAACAAAATCACTCATCACTTCCAAACAACTCCCCCAGTCACAAGTGCATGTATGCTAGGTAGTGGCAAGAGATCATTTACACTCTATCAAAAATTATCAGTTTGAGGCAAGGAAACATGTGTCACAAGAACTTCTGTGTTTTCTTTGATAGCATCCAGTATTCTGCTGGCTTTATATCATGCTCAATGGGCAGTTGAAACAAACGATGGAGTGTCACACCACCTACATTGAAAGCAGTTAATCCAGTGGGTGCAGCAACAGCACAGGTCACAAGCTCAGAACTCGACAAGACCTTAGCACTTCACACTTGAAACTTGTACTGCTCTATATCAGAAGTGGTGGAAAGCTTCTTTTTCATAGTATGAATGGTATATGATTGAAATTCATAAATATATTGTTTTGTTGTTTTAACAACCTAAAATCCTATTTGCCCTACCACTAGCAACAGAACACTGCTTGGATGGAGTAAGATACTGA